GTTTTTTTTTTTTTTAAAAAAAAAAAAAAAAATATTCATATAAATAATTACATTGATATTAAATAATTACTTACTTGAGAATTATTTCAAAAACGTTTGGACTGATATGAGGTTTTTTAAGCATCGTAGTATAACCTCTTTTAAAATTATTACTATTATTGCTTCCCCATTTAGTCGAAAGCTCATTCCTGAAATAAGGAGAACGAGCTCGTAAAATATTTGAATGTATTCGAAAATCTTTAGTATTATGATCTTCTCCCACTTGAATAATTACATCATGATCTTCTGAATCATACAACATTGACGAGTAATCTTTTAAAAGATCTTTGTGTAATTCTGAATCCATCTTTTTTTTTATTTTTTTTTTATTTTTTTTATTTAGTTCTATCTCTTTTTTTTTGATATAAATATACAAAAATATTGATTAAATTGATTAAAATTTCTGAATTAAGAAGATCAAAAAGAATGTTCTAATAAATTATCACACGCTCCTCATTTTATTGACGTCATATTGAGGTAAATTTTAATTGTTCATAATCATGAGAAAATTTAGCAACATATATCATATGATGAAATAATTACATAATTAGACGTTACGATAGTAATCTTCCCACAAAATGATCGTTTATAGTTAAACACACTGTATTATTTATGATTATCATGAATAAGAGAATGCTTTGTATGTGAAGTATGTGAAATATGTCATTTACTGTATGTAATTACAGTACATGTGGGAAAATACTCTTTTGTTATGGACAAATTATAATATAGTTATTTTTTGACTATATTTAATTAATTGAATCACGAAGTAGTTATTTTAAAGACTTCAATTTCCTCCGGAACAAAATTAATATTTAGGTATGGACTTCCAACATTATTAATGTTACCATCATAATAGCCATTATTATTAAAATATATTTGATCACTATTCATATAAAATACGTTACCAAAGTTAAATCCCTGATTGTAATCCTCGTATATTGCATAATTATTATAGCCATTATTTACACGACTTATTTTCATGTTTTGAATATCTCTGCCATTTTCAAAAGAAAATATAAAACTTTCAGTTGTATTACACCATTGTCCACCGTAACCCATAAATCCAAGTGGATTGTAACCTCCATAAATCTTTGCTGATTGTTGATGTTTGACTAATACTAAACATGGACCTTGATTATTACATTTAGTTCGAAATGTGTTAGTATTAACCCCATCCTGGCTACTACGATAAAGAGGATCAAAATTGTACTTGTGTGATAATTCTTTTTCATTTCTTCTTTCGATCCAGCCAGCAATTATACCGGCAAGATTTAGTTTAATAAGCTTTGATTCAATTCGGACCTTAGCATTTCGTGGCGGTAAAATAGTGGCTTCTGGTAAAGTATTTTTATAATAGAATTCAGTAATATCTTCATAAATATATTCAGGGATAACAGCTTTATAGGGACGAACTTTATCATAAAAATCAGCAGGAGAAATTTCCACAAATCGAATTAGAGGAATAAAATGACTTAACGTTCTTTTTAACGCTTTATAATTACTGTCGCTCCATTTAGCTCTATCGTTATTCTTACTTCCTAAGCCAGGAGTTTGTTCGATACCCCATTTAATCAAATGATCCCAAGCAACAGCTTCTTCAATTTGTAAATCGTCACGTTTAAGTAATTCATACACAATATCCCTATCAAGAGATGGAAAATTTTCTGAAGTAATAAATGGTTTTGGGTCTGCACAGATAGATTTAATACAATGATCCTGCAATTTTTTACAATTAGATAATTTGAAAATTGTATGAAGAACAAGAACATAATTTTGTTTAACCCAGACTGATTGTTTTTCAATTAAATGATCTTGAACGTGATCAAATAATTTTCCGAGTTGAAGTTCATCTGATGCAACCAAAACTCCAAGAATATCTTCGCCTGGTTGTTTAGATAAATCTACTTCACCCGTATAAATGTACCTTTTTATAATTGTAATAAAAAGTATTAATTATACCAAAATGACTTTATTAAAAATAAGAAAACTTCAACTACGTACTTGAGAATTAATTCGAAAGAATTAGGGTTAATATTTGGTTTTTTAAATTCAATAATGTCATTTCTTTTAGAATTATCAGTCTTCCTTTTAGAAGACCTACCCGAAAGTGTAGAAAGTGCATTCTTGAAATAAGGTGAACGAGCTCTCAAGATATTTGAATGGATACGAAATTCTTTCATATTATGATTTTCTCCAACTTGAATAATTACATTATAATCATCTGAATTATTTAACATTAACGAAAGATCTTGTGCAAGATCGTCGTGAAATTTTGTATCCATTTTTTTTTTTTAAATTTTTTATTTTTTTTGAAAAAAAATTATTGTGCAAGTTTTTAAGAACAAGTCGCTTAAATAGATTATTGATTATATACATAACATAATCAAAGTTAAAACGTTTCAAGAAATTATCACACGCCATTCGTTTTTTTAATGTCAAAATGAGTTCATTTGATTAATAATTTAAAAATAGACATGGGAAATTTTCTTCTTTAAAAATAAACACAGCAGCATATGATCGAGAGAAAAAAGAAAGAAATCGATTAAGTACGATATTTTTTTTTTCACTTAATTTATTCCTTAAATAGATGAGAAGGATTTCTAATTTGTGCTGATAATGCCACACCTGATCTAATTATAAAGTTTAGTATTTGTTTATATTCGGGATTCACATTAGCAGTTCTTGACAAAATCTTTTCATTAGGATTTAACTTTATTAATATGATCAAAAAAGTTTAATTTCATAAAATCTAATTATGGAAATACTTTTATGAATGATTATATTCACACTTTATTCCATTTATTAAATTCTTGATCTTGTTCTAATCACCATTTAATTTAAACCATTCCAAAATTCAATCTCATTTAAATTCAAATAATCACGCTTTAAAAGAATTTCAATAAAGGTACTTTAATAAATCCATGAATAATTCATTATTATAAACCTACAGTATATACAGTATAATATTAACTAGTTCTTTATTTTAAAAAATTATTTACTATTTTCTTTTAGTTAGTTCCCAAAATAGTTTCACATTTAAACAATGAGAGATGTAATGAATGAAATAATCAAAAAAGGAAACTGCATAAAAAAAAATGTAGGTTCAAAAACTTTTTTTTTTTATCGTAAAGCAGTAAAGCGTGTTATTGTGTTTAACGTTAATGGGAATTTTTACAATATAAATTATTTACACAATAGTTACTTTAAATATGATTTTGATTTTTTCCGGATAATCGTTGAAATTATGGCGTTTAAGGGCGGTTAAATTTTTCTCAGGAAAAAAACTTCTTTGGAATGAAAAATAATATCGATATAGGCACAGAATTTCAAAAAAAAAAAAATATAAGTTTTAAAATGTATTTTTTGATTTTAATACAATTTGTTATAGAATTTCTTAACATTCTAAGAATTCCTTAAAATTTCATGGATTTAATTTTCCGTATTTTTCCAATAGATCAACAGAAGTTTCTTTTTTCAATTATGGAATTTAGAATTTGATGTAACGCATCAACTAAAAGTTTCTAAATTATATCAATATTGTACTTGCTAAATGAAAGAAAAATAATGAAAATTCTTTCAATCTGACTCCAAAATTAAAGTCGTCGAGGTCTCTGTCTTGACATATTTTCCTAAAACTCGAATCAAAAATAAATATCAAAATATATATATATATATTTTTTTAAATAAATAGAAGAGATTTTTTTATTTTTTTTTAAAAAAAAAGGATCCTTAAATCCTAAATATATATCCCCCTTCGGATATACACGTTCTATTATTATGTTAAAGAATGCGAAAAAAATGTATCTTACCCTAAACTAAACATCGAATATAATAGCGCGGCAGGCCATGATTGGGATCTCCGTAAAACTCGGGACTTTTGACGTTATACAATTGTTTCATCATTGGTCATACGATCAAGTAAACAAAAATGCAGCGATCATTGCTTTTAAGTAGCTCCTAATTAAACGCCGAATATGTTTTCTTTTGTAATCATGAATTTCAAATTTAAGAAACTTAAATTCAAAAATTTTATACCCAAGAAATTTAAGAAAGTCAAGAAATCCCAAATGATAATACAAAGTCATCTCAAGAGAACAGAATAAGTGAGGGATATATAGGTCAATGTATAGAATGTACTTATAATGAAAGTTACAAAGAACTGAGTCAATCATGTCAAGCTAAATATTTTAGAGAAAGTTCTACAAATTGGACCACTGAAGAAAGGGATGATTTTATTCAAAGAATGCAACTTAAACCTAAAGGTCGATGTATACAATGTTCTTATTATGAAAAAGATAGAGAATTATGTCAACCTTGTCAAATAAATTATTTAAAAGAAATTTTAAAAACTGGACCAGTGGGGATAAAAAAATTGATGATTTCATTCAAAAAGTACAAATTAATGAACCAGGTTTTATAATATTTGAATGGATACCATACGATCAATTTTATGATATTAAAGAAATAGAAAAAGGTGGTTTCGCTACAGTATGTTCAGCAATGTGGAAGGATGGTCCATTACGTTATGATTATAAAAACAAGAAATGGAAAAGATCAGTTGATGATATAATTGCTTTAAAATTTTTACATAACTCGAAAGATTTATCTAACAAATTTGTGACTAACGAATTTCAGAATGAGGTATGAAATTTCTCTGTGAATTTATTTTTATTTTTATTTTTATTTTTTTTATTTATATATATATTTTTATTTGGTAGATTATAGTATATTCAAATAAGTATAGTAGTAATATTATTAAAAAATATGGAATATCCCAAAATTCTGATACAAAAGATTATATTATGGTTCTTCAATATGCATCAGGTGGAAATGTTAACAATTACATGATTAAAAATCGTGAATTTTTAATTGGAAAAATATAGTACGAACATTAATTGATATTAATGATGCTCTTAAAGAAATACATGAGAAACGGTTGGTTCATCGTGATCTTCATACGGGAAATATATTAATTAATGATATAACGCCACATATTTCAGACATGGGATTATGTGGAGAAGCTAATAATACAGATCATACAAAAATTTATGGAGTTATGCCACCTTATGTAGCTCCTGAAGTATTAGTAGGAAAGCCTTATACTAAAGCAGCGGATATATATAGCTTTGGTATGATTATGTATTTTCTAGCAACTAGGAGACAACCTTTTGACAACTGTGCGCATGATAGAGATCTAGCACTAAGTATAATATGCTGTGGAAAAAGACCTGAAATAGATGAGTTAGAAGCACCAAAATGTTATATTAACTTGATGAAAAAGTGTTGGGATGCAGATCCAATCAATAGATCCAATCCTAGAAATATCTGAATTATTAGATTTATAAGTGGAATAGAAGAATCAGATTATGAAATGAAAAAGGAATTCGAAAAAATGGAAGAATATAGAAAAGCAAATCTTTCATCTGTTAAAAATAACCCATCAACTACTCATCCACAAGCTATTTATACATCTCGACTACTTAATTCTTATACAAAAGATATTCCTGATGTAAAGTTTAGCGATAGTTCCGCAATCGCACAATTTCTGCAACATGAATTAAATGAATCAAATTAATAATTTGATGATATAAAATTATAACATTGAATCTGAAGTATATTACATATTTTAATAAAGAGTGAGATAATCGTCAAAATTATATCTTGTTTCGCATATTTTTTGAAGGCTGGTTCGTCTGTTACTAATTCTGCAATATAAATTATTGAACGATGGGAATGTATTTACAAGATTTTCCTTATCATCATGTAACCATAAAATCGCACTTGCGATATATTTATATTATTTAAATAATTTAATTCAATTTAGGTTTCAACGCTCTCGTGTACAAAGAGCTATTTTTACAATTAGACCAAAGAGCTCTTTTATTTTTCATGTTTTTAATGTTCATCTATTAATTTCTCAAAAGATATGAATTTTAAACGTAAAATACTTGGTTAAATCTTTGGACTATGCTTCAATAGAGCTAGAGCTTGATGAGAGGTGGTAAATATTTAACTGGTCATGCGCGCCATCCTCGTGGGTCTCTTGAAGGAGGAGGAGATACCTATTATGGAAGGGGAGAGGGTAGTCTAGTCAACACGAATGAACTACTCGAAAAGGAAAAAAAAAATAAAAAACAAAAAAGGTCTTTCATGTGTCGAAGATACATAGGCCAACCCTCATCCGGGAAGGCCAGTCTCTCCATAAAAGCAGCTCCAGCGCTTAAGCGATCAACGCTTTGGTATATGTCATGAGGGGGTACTCCCCGAGGGGTCCTCTATCGTATCCTCACGCCTGGCTTCCGCGCTTTTGCTTATTGCTACCACTAATTAGTCTCTTTTTTACATTATACTACACTAGAGCTATGCACTAAAGATTTCAAACTATTTACAATTTTAAGCATACCTTACTATTATTTGACGTCACCTTGTTCGTTTAGTAAAATCTTCCATAAATATTTTAACTAATTAATTTGTTGAATCAACGTCTACCAATGTATGTTCTCGTACTATATAGCATTATCTACACAAAGAAGGATTTTGTGGCCGAGTTGGTGGAATTTTATTATATGGAGTGACAAGTCGCGGTTTGAAGTGTTTGAAGGAGATGGCCGTGATTATGTTTGGAGGAAACCCGAAGAAAAATATAATGTTGATTGTTTAGTTCCAACCTTTAAATCAGACCGTAAGGGTGACATGGTTTGAGGATATTTCAGTTCATTTGGTATGATTTGGTATGGGACCTCTAGTTCAAGTTCATGGTAGAGAGAACGCAAATGATTATATTAATGTCTTAAATAACCACTTATTACCTTATTTACAATCAAAATAATTATATATTTCAAGATGATAACGCTCAAATTCATCGTGCAAGATCAACTTTGCGTTGGATTTCAGATAATAATATTGATCAACTTCCCTGGCCCCGATTTAAACCCAATTAAAAATATTTGGGATGAATTAGAGCGTCACATTCGTAGGCCAAAAAACGAGGTTGAATTATTCAATTTGTTGGAGGAAGAGTGGTTTGTCGAAGGTACGAGCAGACGTGTCCAAGCTGTAGTTAAGGCCAAAGGGCGTCCTACCAGATATTAATAAATGTAAATGAAAGTTTATTACGGGTTTTCAATAAAAAAAATTTAAACATAAGTAAGTTGTTGAGAAATTTCAAATCAAAAACTCATAAAAAACTGATTATTACAATGTTCGTAAAATTTTCCCATGACCCGTGTCGGGGAGTGTACATAGGCCTATCCAGGAAGGCCAGTTTTCCATAAAAGCCAGCGACAACGCTTTAGTTTATGTAAAGAAGAGGACTTTCTGAGGGGTCCTCTATCGTATCCTCACAACTGGTTGCTAGTTGCCACCGCTTATTAAATAATAAATAAAAAAAGTCTTTCATAGTATATGTCAAGAGGGAGACTTTTCGAAGGGTCTTCTATCGTATTTCTCGCGCGCGCCTGGCCTTTACACTTTGCATAATTCAAGTTATTCAAAAACCTCTTGAGAGAAATAGAAAAAAAGAAACTAGATTCTAAAAAAAAAAAGTTGCGATTAAATAGAATCAAAAGTTTCTGAGTATGAATTACAATAGTAACCATCATGTGGATTGTAGCGCGGCGCGAACTTACCTAGCGTCACCTAGAAAAAATGGTAGCCGGATAGGTTTGCTAGCTACACGTGATTCGGAAACTGATTTCCGGTTAGCTTATTAATTTTTATTATAACGTAGTAAAAAAAAAAACTTCGATAAATAATTGAATAAATTAATACAGTAAATATTTAAAGTTTTTTAAGAAAATTGCTGAAATTTTATTTATTTGCTATTATTATTTTATTTATTCCCAAAACATTGTATTTTTGTTAAAGTTTTTCCATGTTTTTTCTAATGTTTTAATATCTTTTCCAACAATCTGAAATTTTTGCAAAACATTTTTTAACCATAGATGTCGTTTTAGTTTGTTATATGATTCTTTTAACAATTCTTTAGCCTAAAAAAATTATTTTGACATTAGTAAAGATTAAAAATGCATCTGTATATGAAATTTATATGTAGTATTAACATGCCTTGGTCGTTGATGTAACATTTTATGAGAATATTTAACTTTGATTAAGTCCAGTTTTGATAATATTTCTATATTTATAGTAGATGTGTCTCTTTGTTTATCTAATATAGGATGCTTTACTTGCCATTTTCCAAGTTCAATTCGACAATTGCAATAATATAATATATGATGAGAGTCTTTTTATTCCAATAAACCCATGAATAGCCATCACCTTCCGAAATAAGTGTTATAATTAAATATCAAGATCAAGATTTACTCCACATTATCACCATAATATTCATTAGTATCATTTAGAGAAATTAAAGGTTGTATATAGTTTCATAATATCTGAATAATTAATTATTAAATCAGATTGTTCAGTATTTTTTTAAACGAGCAATTTTTAAGTTTATCTCGGCAGTGCAAACATTTTTTTAAAGCAACACCTTTATCATTTAGAAGATTTTCATAGCTTTGACGAAATGACATCCTTTATAAGTTCTATTTTCCTGCTTTGACATTAGTGAAATAAGAAAGATAAGAAAGGGTTTAAAGTGACGTATATTATGAAAAGATAAAAAGGTAAAAAATTGATTTATAATCGATTTGTAATTAATGTAACCGGAAATCAGTTTCCGAATCACGTGTAGCTAGCAAACCTATCCGGCTACCATTTTTTCTAGGTGACGCTAGGTAAGTTCGCGGCGCGAGACTGAACTTTGTAAAAGCTTGATTTTACCGATCAGTATTTAAAGTCGAGAACTATAAGATTGACTGTATATACTATAATTTATTTAATTTAACGTATTTTTATTATAATTATCATATAAATTATTTTTACTATAAACTAATAATATATTTATTATTATATAGGGGTGTTACAAATTGCAAATGAGTTCTGGAGTTCGGAGATTTCTCCATATAAGCAAACTCAGTAAGCTTTAGGTAACATAAGTAAATATCACCGAACTGCAGCCACTGATGATCACGCTTATGTTGATTAAACTAGTATATGAAAAAATATCAATAATAATTATGTAATTGTAGTTTATTTATAGCTTAATAAAAAAATATCAGCGCAGTGAAAAAAGCATAATATGTAGTATTTTACTGTAAAATTTAATATATGTTGATATTTAATCCAAATAACGTAACGCGTCAAAAATATCACTAAAGTAATTTATTTGTACTCCTATTAGCTGTATAATAAATAATTTATATTTATATCAGGATTGATCTTAAACATAGTTAAATAATTTTCTGAGAATAATAAGTTCACACGAAGTAAATGAGAGTTTCTAATTTAAAAAATTACGTACTTTAGTACTTTATCGAAGGAATTAACGTTAAAATCATATCTTTTAAATCCAATTTCACTTCACTTAAAAATATACTTTCTTTTATTTACGATCTATCCGAAAACGCAATCTTGAAATAGGGAGAACGAGCTCTTAAAATATTTGAATGTATGTGAAATTGTGAAATTCTTTCATATTATGATTTTCAATTACTTGATTAGTTAGTTACATTATTTAACATTAATGAAAGATCTTACGTAAAATTTAAAACCATATTTTTAATTTTTTTTTCGAAAATACATATATTATTAATTTATGTCAAACTGATAATATAAAATATCGGTTACGGTACGTTTCGCCGAAACCCATTTCTCCGAGACCATTTTGCCGTATGGAAATTTCACTGAAGGGATATTTCATCGAATGGGCGTTTCATCGAATAGACATTTCGCCGAATCCTTTTCCCCTTCATCGAAGGACATTTTACCGAAAATGGTATAATTCCTTAATCATTAACAATTTGATACAGAGAAAATAAAAAATGTCTCGAAAAATTGATGAGTATGATGAATTTGTTAAGTAAAATTAATTTCCTTTAATAAAAAAAATATATATATACAAACGCGACTTATAATGTACAAATAATTTGTTTTTCTTTAAAAATGAAAATTCCATATATTCGACGAAGTGTCCCGGCGAGATTATTTCGGTGAAATGTACTTCAGTAAAATGTCCATTCGGGGAAATGGCATTCAGCAAAATGGCACTTCGGTGAAACATCCCTTCGGCGAAATTGCTTCGGCGAAATGGGTTCAGTGAAAATGTGAAATGGACTTCGGCGAAAAGTCCGGATACTTAAAATAACATGGGAAAGTTTTCTTCTTATCGCTGTTTTCAATTTGGTGCGATCATAGCGTAACACCACTAAAAATAATCAATTTTTAAAAATTTGTGAATAATACCCGTGATTTTTTTAAATAATCATCTAGAAAAGGGTTGATTACCTATGATTACCGGGGGAAATCATGGAAAATTCCCAATTATTTGAGTAGTTTACTTATAAAAAACTGTTATTGTTACACAAAGTTAAAAAACTTGCGTATAAGTAAACTACTCGAAAAATTGAGATTTTTCTATAATTTCCACTGGTATTCACAGGTTATCAACTATTTTCTAAATGATTTTTTAGAAAAATCATGGGTATTCACAAAATTTCGATAATCATATTTTAGGAGTGCTAGCTGTGATCGCACTAAATTGAAAACAGCAATAATATACCGTATGATCGAGAGAAAATTACATAATTAAACGAACAAAATGAAATCGATTAAGATGTTTTGCGCCAATTAATTTCTTAATCTTGGAAGGACTTTCTAATTTATGACAGAATTTTGTTTACTATTACTATCGCCATTACATTTAAAGAGACTTTTTTTTAATAAGAAATAAGCCATTTTTTATTGCTTAATTAAGAAATTTAATAATAAATTATTTAAACTAGTTAGCCTCACCATCATCACTTCTTTTAGAATTCCTTTTAATATGAATTTTCTTGACAAGTTTACGACGCAACAAAGAAACCTCTATATATCTGCGTTCAAGTATTTCACTACTACTGATGCGAGTAACTGGTCTCTCAAGAATTACACGACATATGTAAGGGGAATTGCGAAGCAATACCATTGCTCTAAAAAAGTACTTTTAGAATTTTATCAATTTAGTTTGTCTGAATGTCTTTTGAAGTCCTTAATTGACCAGACAACATTCAACATTAAGCATGTTGAGTTAGTTAAGTATTTTATTATTATTTGAGAAGTTTTCACTATCATATATGATGATATAGAGAGTTTGTGTGGCAATGAGTGGTGGTTTGCTCGTCTTGTGATTGCTTTAGCACCTGTGATGTATACTGTTGGCATCTTGTGTTTGCTTTATAACAACTTTCGATGATATGCTGTTTGCACTTATAGTTTGCTTTAGCAGTATATCTATGTTGGCACCTTGTGGCTTGTGGTTGTTTATAGCATATTACAATGGTATATTGTTTGCACTTGTGGTTTGCTTCAGCAGTATACTGTTGGCGCCTATGTTGGCACCTTGTGGCATGTGGTTGGTTTATAACACCTTGCGGTAGTATACTGTTTGCACTTGTGGTTTGCTTAGCAGTATACTGTGGCACCTATGTTGGCACCTTGCATTGTGGCTTGTGGTTGTTTTATAGCATATTACAATGGTATACTGTTTTCATTTGCGCATTTGCGGTTTGCTTAACAGTATACTGTTGGCACATGTGGTTGCTTTGTAGCACCTTGCGGTAGTATACAGCTTTCACACATGGTTGCTTTAGCGGTATATTGTTGGCATCTCTGTATATATATATATATATATATACTTTGTGGTCGCTTTATAGCACCTTGCGATGGTATACTGTTGCACCATGTAGTTGCTTTAGTACATCCGAATTTTCTGGTTGAGGTCTACCAATTTTGAATGAGAAATTGGTTATGTATCTTCCTCATAACAGTTAATTCATAGAGTAAATACACTTCATCTTTCTACTGAAGGACGCACATTGATATATAATAAATACTATTTATAAATGTTATGATACTAATATTATGATAGTTTTTTTTTTAGCATAATAATCAAAATTCTGATTGTACAAATGCAAAAAATTCAGACAATTTCAATTTATTTGATATTACGGTGCGATTAAGTTTTTATTGATTATTTAATCTAATGAAGAAATTAATCATTTATTACTTTTGATTTAGGATGATGAGATTAGTTCTTATCCATGGAAAATCAATAATAGTGATATGCACGAACGCGTTAAAAAATGTTTAAGAGATATAGATATAACAAACATCAACTATGATGAACCGATTCGTTCATCAATTATTGATACTGACAATCCACCCACTTGGATTAAAAATGAATTTTCTGATGATGAGTGGAAGGTCATATCTAGTAATGACAACTGTCATTATAAAAAATTCATTAGAAGAAGTGAAAGATTTTTTTCCAATTCAGAGGGATCTGCGATAAAAAATCACTTGTAAGTATTGAAAGGGGCAAAACTATAACTGGTAAAAAAAATTTTAACCAATTAAATTTGATAACATTTTAGTAAATGGATAAGAAAGATGAAAGATTACAAGTACTATAATAATGAAATTAATGAAGGAACCTGGCAGATTGATGCCATTTCAATTCCACTTAAGTATTCATCAACCCTATAAAAACGAAATGTGTTGAATTTGTTTTATATTTGTGCTCATGTGTAATAAATATCTAAAAAAGCACCATTTTATCCGATTTATGTCTTATTACAAAAAAACAAAAATTAAACAAAATGGTGCTTTTTTAGACATTTATTACACATGAGCACGAATTTAAAATAAATTTAACACATTTCGTTTTTATAGGGCAAGATCACTCACAGATGTTTTATTATTAATGTAAATTAAACCAAATATTTAAGTTATAAATCCATTATTAATCTTAAATAAAATAAACTATTTAATAACTTTTATATGATTAAATGATTTGTCATAGGCCCGAAAAATCAAGTAAAGCATCTAGTGAACGTAAAAACTCCGTGATTTCCAATTCTAGCTCCGAAAACTTTTATAAGGAAAATGAGAAGCCGATAAAGAAAAAACGGAAGAGGAACGATGAGTTTATTCCAAGGGTAATAATTACCTTAAATGTTTTGACACCTTAATAATATAATTTTTAGCAACTATAGAAAGAAACGTACATAATTTGACTAAAATTTTTTTCGTCGTTTATCATATACTGTATATTATAGAAAAGAAAGAAAATAGGGAGAAAACCAGACCTCATGATTATGTCTAAAACCAGGTTATTCCAAAAAAAGCTAGAATTTTTTGTGGGAGAGGTATCAAATTCTCCTTGGAAAGAGAAAAGCGATAAAACCAATAAAGGTGTGACTTAAATTTAAATTGTTAAATTTCTGGCTACTATAGAATGATTTAAAGAAACTGCATCATTTAATAGATCGTAAGAAATTAATTCGAATGCTTAAAGATATCTACGATCACATAGCTAAGACATTTTTCAGTAAATATTTATATCTTAATATTAATTCTTTTAAGAATTTGGAGATATATGGTATCCAAATAACGGGTGATTTTCAAGCTTAATATTTTTTTTAAAAAATAATTGGTATATTTCATCTCTAATAAAAATTAATACACTTTCTTGAGGGTTTAAGATGAAAATTTTTTGTTTTGACAAACCTGGGTTTGGTCTCTATCGAGTAAGAAAAGTTGACGAGATTACAATCCCTGTAAATATTAAAGATGATTTTATTGATCGAACTTTTGAAGGGTTGATGGTATGTACAAAAAAATTTTAATTAATTGATGCAGTATACAGTAATTAAAGTTAAATCAAGTACAGTATTCTGTTAATCAGACAAAGGTATACGTAAATAATATCAAAACAACCATAAGTTCACAAAGAAAGGGAGCAAAGAACTTGCAATGGGAGAAATCATTACCAAAAACTATGAACTCTCCATAGTTCTAGGATTAGAAATCAGATTTGTTAAGCGTCATTTATTTTTATTTAACCATCCATATTGTGATTTGTGAAATTTTATTTGTAGTTTTATAGAATTATATAGTTATAATGTACAGTAATAGGTCTTGATTTTATATAAAAAACTTGAGAGACTCCCAGTTTGACAACGACAGTAGCAAGAGTTAAGAAGACATTAAGGACGTTCTTCAAGCACCTCAAATGATCGGCAAAAAAAATAAGTTTCGGAGTTTCGAGTTTTCTAAAACAACAAGCGAGCTAAAAATCTTCAAAACTCTCAATCATCATTTCAATTTATTTAATTTATTTTATTTTTAGTATAACAAAATGAGTTCTCAGCAAGATTTTTCAATATAGAAAAATCATTACTTTACTTTTAATGCAAGAAATTTTAAAATAAATAATAGAGAATTTGATACAAATATGGATTGCTTTTTAACTTTTATTCATCATAATTCATAAAAAAATCCATTGCTTTAAATTTATGAATTTATATCAAACTATAAAAAAAGTAAGCTCAAACTTATAATTCTATTGGAAACATTGTTTCGCACAATGACATCAACTATCTGATCAAATTGAAGAAGATGCTCGAGAACGACCTGAGGCGATTTATTCCTCTCATTCGATACTCATAAATGAGTTCCATAAATTTTTTTTGATAAAGTTCGCCCATTTAAGGATCATTCCTAATATTATTTATGAAGAATTTATGAAATTTCATACGAAAGGTACTTTACCAACAAATACTTTTGCTACCATGACTTGGAGCGATACATATTGAATTAGATCGGAACGTGCTTATATAATAACTAAAATATTTTCGCAATAAAAAGAATTTGCAATATGAATTCATCCTTCTTTACCGCAATAGTCGAGATAGTTTTAATTTTAGCGCTTATAGTGCATTTCGTAATAGGTGCAGAAACCAAGGAAGCAGGGTCCAATTGTTAATAATATTCAATATCCAATAATTTTGATACGCAATATTCAACTGAAATTTATGGAAAATATAATTCACATTATTGTGCAAACTGCAAACAATTTCATATTTTCTTTTTTTGCTATTAAAAATATCGGAATTATAATGGTAAGTATCCCTATAAAAATTTTATCCGTTATTTCTGTAAAAACTCCGTAAAAATGAGCCTTTTCCGGATCCATTCACGGAAAATGTAAATAAATATGAGCCTTTTAACGAAAAAAGACGGAATATAAAAAATGGATCAACTTTTTTTTACAGGGTATGATAATAAATTTAATCTATGTAGTACTCTTCATATGAATGATTATTAACAAATCCACCTATAATGATAATAATATAGTTCAAGTATGACAAATTTTATTTCTAAAGAAATTGTGTAAATACTTGTAAATACTCTAATTTAGACGATATCTGTATTAGCGTTAGGATTAGGTTAAAATTATCGTTTATCGTTGTCACATCCGTCACTGTGATTATCTGGCGCAATACTGCTAATAATATATTACATATTACATTTGTCAATATTCACACGGAGAAGTCGATAATTTAATTATTAAGGGTTAGGTTTTTTTTTCGAGGAAAAAGGTACTAGATTTTAGTTAAGTGGAGAATTTTTGCCTAGTTTCGCGTACGTTTCCGCAATCGGAAATTAATTAGGCTTTACTTTTTCTAATGTATTACTTTTCTGATTTTTACAATTTTTATGTAATTTTTTGTAATTGAAGATTTTATGCTTAACCCAAAAACAAGAGAAAATACTAAGAAAATTAAAAAAAAAATATTTAAAAAAACATTATTAATTAGTAATAGGCACCGATATAGTTATAGAATTACATAATTAGTTTAAAATACTTTTAGATTAGTTATAGTCATCTTAGACTAGACTGGTGGTTATCGATATGTATTTATCGTTACCTCTAGGTATTTTAAAAAATTATTATGTAATCTATTTGATTATGAATAAATTAATAAAATGCGTTACTAATTAAAAAAAAACTCATTATTGAAAAATAATTTGGGAGTCAAAAAAAAAACTAAGTCCCTCAGATAAATATAAACAGTGAAAACGTGATGAATATTTTAAGTCACGTGGGGTAGAAATTTGTTAATATTGATTATAAAATTGATACATCCGTATACGGATTCTTTATTATCAAGCAATTTTTATGTCAATTTCTTAGTAAAAAAACTTGGTATAAAATTATTTGTCGATATACTGTTGTACAATATGAGATTGACATTGTGTGACGTTCGTCATTATTTAACTTGGTTAAGTTTGCGCCACCGCTCCCCTTTTTCCACAAAAATTTTTTTTTTTTAATAAATGGCTGCAAAATTTCATTCAGGCCTCTCACGGGACCTTTTATTAATGTTATATAATGCGGATGATCGTAATGTTATCATTCGTGTAGGAAAAAATCATAATGTAAAAGAATTTCGGGCACATTCAAATATTTTGAGATTTCGTTCAGCTTATTTCAAAAGTGCGTTATCGTCTAAATGGATTGGTAAAAAGAATGAGAATGGTACAATTAAGTTCGAAAAGCCAAATATTAATCCCAATATTTTCGAAATAATTCTCAAGTAAGTCAAATTTATTTATTTATTTATTTTTTTTACATACGTAATGTACATATATTTTTAATTAATAATAATTTATTTTTTTTTTTTTAATTTTTTTTTTTTACCTCAAAAAAAAAGATATATTTATACGGGAGAAGTAGATTTAACTGTGAATTCTGGGGAAGTTAATCTTGAATTGTTAATTTCATCTGACGAATTGCTCCTTGAAGAATTATTTAATTATGTACAAGATTATTTAATTGAAAAACAAATAACTTGGGTTCAACAAAATTTTGTTCTTATTTTAAAATCTGTGTATAAACTTATTAATTGTAAAAAATTACTTGGTTATTGTCTTGGATTAATCTGTGTACATCCACTACCATTTTTCTTTTCTAATAATTTCGTATCATTAGATACTGAAATTCTCCATGAACTTCTTAAACGGGATGACTTACAGGTTGAAGAAATTACCGTCTGGGATTCTTTGATTAAATGGGGTATCAAGAAAGCAGGATTGAAGGATAAACCTCAGAATGAGTGGACTGACAAAAATCGTGAGGATTTAAAGAATACAATGAATGGAATCGTTCCTCTAATTCGATTTACATACATTAATTCTAAAGATTTTTTTGATAAAATCCGTCCATATAAAGATATTATACCTGATAATATTTATGAAGATATGATGGAATTTTATTTAAAAAATACCTTGCCAAAATCAATGATTTTAACACCACGAATTGGAACGAACCATATTGAATCAACAATTGTAAAACCAAAACTTGCTTCAGCGATTATTAAATATATCGAAGAGAAATCTAAATCTCGTAATTACAATAATTACAATTACATGTATCAACGTAGTGAGAATAATCAGAATAACCACAAATATAAATTTGATCTTTTATATCGTAGTAGTCGCGATTATATTAGTTCAGATAATTTTAAAAATAATTGTTATCGTCAACTTCCATGTTTAGTTTTAGTCAGTGTTCATTCTTCACCAAAAATATTCGGAGGTTACAGTCCTATCGGAGTTTATTTTTGTAATGGTAGTCAATGGCATTACACATGCGATAGTTTTATCTTCTCCTTTGAGAATGATGGAGATATTGAAAATATGAAGATAAGTAGAGTAACATGTCCTAATTATGCTCTATATGAATTTTATGATTGCGCGTTCAATTTTGGTGGTGGATCCATGACTATGGATAATGACAAAAATTTACATCTTAACGATCAAGGGTATTATCAAAATTTTCAAGTGAATGCATCTTATGCTGTTAAAGAAGTGGAAGCTTTTAGGGTTGTTAAACAATAATCTTTTTAAGATATCTGTTATACTTATATATACATATTTTTTTTTTAAAAAATAAAAAAGCGATACAATAAATAATTATTAAGAAAATTTTGTTGTATGTACACTGTACAGTACATAATATGTTTTTCTAAATAAATACAATAATTTATTTATAATATTTTTAATAATTGAAAAATTTTTTTTTTTTTAATCGATTAATTGTACACTAAATACTTCTAATTGTTCAGCTTCAAAACATCTTTCATCGTTATTTAATATACAAAATTCATAATTAGATTTATCACAGATTCCAATTGTACCATCTAAAATTAAATCACCATTACCAAAATTTAATAATAAATTAAAATCCTTACAATCATAAATAGAATATTTACTATTTTCTAATATTCTACTAATTCTACTCTTTGATAAATTTAAATAATCATCAAAAGAAAAAATAAAACTATCATTAGAATGTATCCAAGAATTACTTATACACCAACCAATAGGATTATAACCTCCAATAATTTTATTTGAATCTTTAATCTTAATTATTACTATACAAGGACCATTATTATCACAATATTCATGAAATCTTATTGAATTAAAATCATTTAAAGAAGTTGTTCTAAATAATAATTTATAATCATATTGATTAATTTTTGTTATTAAATCATTATTTTCTAAATCTTTCTTATCAATCCAACTTGATAAAATATTCATATGTTTTGAATTAATTATTAAAGAATTAATATAACCTCTTCTTGGTATTGAAGGCATATTTACCTTTGTAGAAGTTCCTATAAGATAATATGACATAATATCTTCATATATTTCCATTGGAATCATCATTTTATAAGGTTTAATCTTTTCATAAAAATCGTCAGAACTTATTTCTCTAAATCTTATTCTATAAATTAAAGGATCCAAAATTTTCTTTAATGCTTCACGAATTTTCCATTTTGGTGATTTATGTTGTTGATTCATAATTTCTTTATTAATATTATTAATAAATTTATGATTTTTTTGATTTTCATCATCATCATTATCATCATAATTATTATTATTATTAATAAAAATACTAATAATATTATTATTATTATAATAATTAATATTAATATTATAATTATGAATTTTATGTAATTGATTCATACCCCATTCAATTAAAAAATCCCATAAATCAATTTCTTCAATATATAAATTATCTAAATCTAATATTAAATTTAAAATATTTTTTTTAAGATTTAAAGAATCTTTTGAAGAAAAAAATGATTTCGCTTCGAAACAAACCCTTTTTATACAATAATTTTGAATTTTTTTACAATTTTCTAATTTAAATACATTATTTAATACTTTAGAAAAATTTTCATGTATCCAATTCTTTTCATTATCTACTAAATATGATTGTGTAAATGATGTTGCTTCTGATAAATTTAATTTTGATGATGTGATCAAGAAAGAAAATATTTTTTCACTTGTAGCATTTGAAAAATCTATCATTCCTGTATATATATACCTAAGTAAAAAAAATATATATATATATTTTTAGTTATGTATTGTCAAAAGATTGTCGCGGATAAAAAAAATAAAAAATAAAATGTACTTACGTAATAATCATTTCGAAAATTTCCGGATCAATTTCCGATAACTCAAGACACATAATATTAAATTCATTAATAATCCTTCCTTGTGATAATAAAATCTTAAAATAATTTGAACGTGCATATAATATTATTGAATGTACTTTAAATTCTTTTTCATTAATCCTTATAATAATATCATAATTATAAGGATTTTTAAGTAATTTAGAAAATTCCGAAGAAAGACACGGTAACAATTCTAATTGCATATTATATAAATTTATATATAGAATTTTTTTTTTTTTAAAAAAAAAAATAAAATATATATATTAAAGTTTAGCGTTTTTTTTTAAAAAAATGTGGAGAATATTTAAAAGGAGAGTAGCGTTATAAATTAGTACTTTTTGACTATCATTATTTCATTATTATATCAGAGTCTAAAGTCAAGTGTACATATAACTCTAAACCATAAGATGGATAAATTAAAATTCGGGATGTCGATNTTTTTTTTTTTTTTTTTTTCTTCATTTTTTATTAGGATATTGTATTATATTTATGGTTATATTTATTATGTATATGGTTTAATTTCGTTTGGAAATATTGAATGCATTTACGCCAAAACACTTACCCGTACATACTTACGCCAACCCTGAATATCTGCGCCCGTTCCAAAAAAATTCATTACCCACTTTTTTTTTCATTTCATATTATTAACTGTTAATAAAAGTTTAGGTATTAAATAAAAAAAAAATTTTGTTAATGAAAAATTTATGCATAAAAAAAAAAATACTACGTAATGTAAATTGATAATGTGTAACACATATGACATATGTTTACGGTATTTTACGGTACGAGATCTTTCTATTTATTTGTTTTTGTTTAATAATAATAATAATAATTTATGCCGAATTTCTTTTATGAGAAACTTTTTTTTTTCATTATTTTATTTATTTTTTTTTTAATTTCTCTCAGGTATTGTTTAGAAAAAAATTTTATTATAAAATTCCCCCATATTTTCAAAAAATACGTTTTTTGTGATCATTCATGAACCAAATATGGTTAAATTGTGGTTTGAAATTTTACGATTGTTATGTTACACTGAATAAAATAAATAGTTTATTAAAACTACAATAGAATTCTTGAATTACTTTTTATAATAATATGATTGCATTATTCTATTATATGTTAGTATAAACGATATTAAATTGTAATGTTTAAAAAACGCCCCGTTTTTTCATTAAAAATCTACGCAGGAGTTAACATTAAGTGACGCAAAGATTTTTGATTCAAATTATATTGCGAATCCGTCGATCCGAGGTTGATCACTTGTTGATCACTTGATCAAAATTGTTGACGTATACTGTGTGTCACAGTCGTCAATTTATGAGATTTTATTATTATTATTATTTTATAGAAAATACCAGAATTTTTGAAGTGCTTGAAAAAAATAATTATCAGATCAACCGAAAATTGAGGCACGTATTACACGCGCCGCTAGCCTCGATTTTGCGCCAAAATAATGTGTGGAACTTTCCATTTTTGGATAATGCCAGGAAAAATTACGTAATTCCGGCCCTAAATAGATGTGTAGATCCTAATTAACACTAGCACTTGCCAACACTGATTCTTTGTTAGGACATGTTAGGACAACAAAAACATATTAATAATTGAAATTAACGAATCAATAAAGTATTATTTTGATACTTCACCTTAATTCTAACACAAGATTTTCGGTTTTTATGAGTTGAATCATTCGGTTAAACTAGTATAGATGGTCCAAAAAGGGTCCAGAGTTTATTACTGTAACGTTTTTCCAAGTCATTTATTTATAAACGATCCTCGGGAAAAGTTTGAAGATTAAAAATTGGGTATAAAAATGAAATTTATAGAAAGTCAAACAAAGCTTATTTATGATATTTATAGTTAATGCATTATCAAATGCGTCAAAGCGATAACGCTTTTATTTGGATGTGAGGCTATATCGGTCACAGGGCCTTTCGTTGATTAGCGAAAATGTGTTACTACGTATTTAATCATTCGGTTCTGTGACTGATATAGAATATTTGAGATCAAACAGAACGAATTTCCTTTTTTCGTAGACAAAGTGAAAGTTGTTTAATAATCCTTTGTTGAGATGATGTAAAAGTTAAAACCTTCGTCTACGTATTTGATTTTGATAAATCTTTCCGTACTTTAATAAATTAATTTTTTGTACCAGTTAAGGTTTGTTGTACGTTGTACGTCATCTTGTACGACCACCTTTTTGATTAAACCTTTCCTAATGTACATAACGAAATCACCAAAATTACAACCTATCAATTACTTTTTTGAACAAGTTGTATTTTGAATAAATGAAAATTTTCGTTTAGTAAATTTATGTTCATAGTTCTCGACAAGTGAGGTAAAAGCAGGTTATATCTGGAAAATGTTTGATTTTTCACAGTTGGAAAACCAAAATGAAAAATGTTTAGAATATTTTTTACGAATATTTAGTTTCATGCTTTTAGCTTTTTACACCGCAACCAAATCTTATAAACAATTTCCGCGTCAGTAAAAGACCAAATTTTTTATGAGAGTGGTATCTAAAGCTCGATTCAATATTTTAATGATAAGACATATGCACAACTACGCTACGCTTTGGACTATTAATATTTTACATACTATTATGAAAAAAAAACAGATAAAACAAAATTATGGGTATTACTAAATATCACCAGTTGTGACGGTCACCAGTGGTGAATTTATGATGTAATGCCGGCCAGTATTTACTAGATTTGGCTCAAAAGTATATCATAATGCTGGTATGGTGACCATCACCACTGGTGAATTTTAGTAACACCCGAAATTATTATGCAATTTATAAAAATTATAACGAAAATTTAATTATTTATAACTCAAATACATAATTATACAATAGTAATAGAAATAAATAAATAATAATATTTGCATATATAACAGATAACACGTACAATAAAAATATAACTATATTAAAATAATATAAAACAATACTGTAAGATATTATTACAACTTACGAAAAGATAAAAAAAAGTATAAAATTTACAGCTAAGAAAAAATGATAGTTTAATATATTCGTTAATGATAGAACAACTGGCTAAGATTTTTGTTGAGAAATTTTAACAGGATGAAATCAAAACAGAATTATATAAATGATATAATCAAATTCCATTCATAGCGTCCTTGGATAACTGGAACTGGTTTTAACATATTTTCCTATTTTAAATTAAATTAAAAAAAAAATAATGTAAGCAAATTATAAATAGCCAACGTCAACAAAGACAATATAAGATCCATTTAGTCAGACAAATATTTACCCAAATCGTCATGAATTTCAATGTTTGATTCCTCTATATTTCGCTTTCTCGAAGTTGCTGCTAGTGAACTACTATAAGTTGCATTTGGATGCAAAGCAATTAAATTTTAGAATTCAAATTCATAAATAACTAACCAAATCATAAAAATTTTAAACTACCTTTCAACGTCTATATCAAATTCTTGTTCTTCTGAAATGTAACTACTATAACCTAAAAAGTTTTAATGCATTTGATTAAAATTATTACGATTAATTTTTAGATTTTTTCTAAGACAATACCTTGTTTATTATAAGATGAAATACTTGAAGATGAATTATTCGATGAACATTTGGAAATGAAAAAGCTTAGTGGTTTACTTGTATAAATAGCTCTTGGATGAGGCTTTTTAGCAAACTTAGGACCAAGCTTTTGTGATTCTGTCAACTCTCTTCTTTTTAATTCAGCTTTATTAAATATATCGTTATGTTTATTTCTGAAAGACCAACTACCAAATGTACTACGAATCTTTTTTGCTGAGGGTCTCTTTTTGGGATCAGGATCCCAACAACTTTTCATTAAATTTGCATAACATTCTGGTGTATCTTCTGTAATTTCAGGTTGTTCTCCATCAAGGATTTTAAAAATCAGAATGATATCATGTTCAACATTAGCAAAAGGCTTACAACCTGTTGTAAGTTCCCACATAATCATACCCATACAATAAACATCAGTCTCTTTAGAAAATGTAGATCCCCTAAATATTTCAGGTGCAATATAAGGTATCACTCCATATATTTCATTATTTGACGATGTATTATCTGCAGGTTGTGATAGTCCTAGGTCTCCAATTAGCCATTGATATCTTTTTGTACTTGAAAAATCATATAATATGTTTCCACTATGAAAATCTCGATGTATATAATTTGCTTTATGAATAGTTTCAAGTCTAAAATAAAAATAATTAATAAATTAAATTATTAATAACAAGAATTATTTATTTTTGTCTAATAAATACTCTACCCTTCTGAAATTTGCCATAAAATAGCTAGTTTTTCTTTATTCCATGTAATATCTGCAAATTCCTTCTGTAACCAGTTATGTAAATCTCCTCCTGATGCATATTGCATAACTAACATATAATCGCTTAATTTTGGATCTTTTGTAACGCCATGAACTCTAATAATATGATGTTTAATTTCATAACAATATTGATTTGATTTTAACTAAAAGAAATTTCAATATCAAGGATTAAAATTAATTTATTTTATAAAATAAATAATACAAAGATTTGTAATACCTCATTTAAAAAATATCTGCTGGTATATTGAGAATTTTTGAATTTTTTTAAAATGACACTTTTTTGATCCTTGATTGCACAATATATGATACCAAATCCTCCTTTTGCTATTTCTTTAACATTTGTAAATTGAGAATATGATATCCACTCTATCAACTTTTCAGGTTGATCCATCAACTTTTTTGATTGATCCATCAACTGATCCTTCAACTTTTTTGATCGAAAATCTTCGTAGTTTTGAAACATAGAACGAATAGTTGAATCTATTTCTAATGGAAAATAATATTTGTCAATATTTTTTATTTTGTCCATAAACTCATCTACGTCTATAAACTTATCTACGCCTATAAACTCATCTGCATCAATAAACTCATCTACTTTCATATTAACGCAAAAATGCGTGTCAGAAAATAAGTTGAAGAGGAATTCATCTAATTCACAGTTTCCACTAAAAATATCCACAATAGATGTTCTATTGCATTTTCTACATAGAGATTGAATTGTAAGCCCAAAAATAAAATTTATTGTTAAACAATATCTACATTTAATATAATATATAAAACAATTCTCGCAATATTTTTGGGATTCTGATATAAGTGTTAAGGATTTGTCACAAGAATTACAATGAGATATGTGGGTAAATTTATATAATTTTTTATTTTCATTATTTTCATTCAAAATATTTGTGAAATCAGAAATGATAGTTAATACTCTTTTGCATTTTCTACATTGAGATTGAGTTGTTGATCCAAACATAATATTTGTTGTTAAACAATATCTACATCCAGTATAAAATATAAGACATTTCTTACAACATTTCTGACAGTCTGATGTAAGTGTTAAGGGTTTGTTGCAAGCATCGCAACAGGATATATTATGCCACCATGGTAAATAAATAATTGGAATAAGTTTTTTGGTCAAAGTTGATTCTATATATTCAGAAGAAATTAGATAACAATCTGAACATAACTTGAATTTAGACACAGAATTATAACTATCACTTCCTTGATATAATGATTTTTTACACAGTTTGCAATATTCTTCAATTTCGATCACACTATTGCATAAATTTTCATATGAAAAATCATTTAAAATAAAGGGATTAGGTATTTGTTTGAAACATAATACTTTCAAACAATTTCTGCAACATTCTTGAATAACTTGCGGTTCATCTGACCTAATTTCATGTTCACTACATTCTAAGTCCATTATATAATATGCATCCAAGTACATATTATTATCTGTTATATTAATAAGATAACATGATAAACAATTTTTGCAATATCTTCGATCATCATACAAAAGTGCTTTAGTGTATTCTTCTCCACAATGAATACAATTAGTATCATACCGATTAAATGAAATAAACCAAATTGGTATTGGACTAGATTTTAATTTTGGAGTTGGGTCAAAATCATTTGATATCTTTACAAGATCCATTTTATGTTATATCAAACGATAAAAAAAATTAGAAAGTTCATAACATATTTATAATTTTTTAATATGATAATACCAAAATGGAAATGGAACATCAATTGGATTAAAAATTCTTATCGTTATTAGAATTTTAGAATTCCACGCAGAAAGTAAAACTGGTATTCGAATCCTATGGTGAAACATTCTGTAACTTTGAAAAAGAATATTCTTCAATGAATGTTTGTTTCACTTATGACGCCCACTATAAACCGGTTATTAGAGGATCGCCAAATGTTAGCAAAAAACTTGTCCATTATAAAATTTCTATATTTATGGAAAAATATGGAATACTGTATATAACAAATTTTTTTCAGAGGGTAAACGCAAAAATTTTAATCTAATTGTAATTATGGCAAATTATGCATTAGTTAATATCATGTCGCTTCATAATGATAAGCGACTAAAATTTTTTTTATGTCGATGATTATCATACATCAGCGAAAAAGTTTAACATTATTAACAATTAATTATTTATTTTAATCATCTTTTAATTGCTAAAATGTTTCAATTTCTTTAATATTAAGGTAATTATGACTATATTCTATATTTAAATAGTTTCCATAATAATTACCATGAGAATTATTAGTTAAATCCTGAAGCACCACAATAAATAGCCAAAAAAAAATTTTACTTGACTTAATTTCATGCATATTTTAATATCTTCACTATTTTCAAATGAAAAAATAAAATTATTTTAGTAAAACAATAATTATTTCCAATTGAGCTATACGATTTCATTATCTATTATATGTAGTAGTAACGATAATTGTAATGTTTCGAACCGCTCGTTTTTCATTAAAATCTGCCCAGGAGTTAACATTAAATGACGCGACATTTTTGATTCAAACAAGTTTCCTTCCCTGGTTTTAAAAGCCATCAGAAAAATTTTCCTTTAATGAAAATCGTATAACGTAAGAAAAGCATGTGACCTTACGCTTCTTTCTAATGTTAATTTCAATATTCATGATTAAATTTTATTTAAATTTTAGACACATACCATTTACCTATAAAAGTTTTTTTACTATTCCTATTTATTTATAATAGAAATATTTCAATATTATTATATAATAATAGGAATTAGTATGAGTCATGTTTAACATTAGGAAAAATTTTTTATAATTATTTGTTTAAAAAATATAATGATTTGAAAATATACAGAACTTTACGTTCGAAATATAATTTTGTTTACGTCACAAATTATTTAAAGAATCGAAGATGTATGGTCATATTTTTTGAAGTTATAATAATTATCTTACTTCTAATATGCGCAGCAGGTTCTTATTATTAATTTGATAACACAATTACACAAATATAAAATTCATCTAACTTTAATAGAAACAATTCACGTGAATTTATATCATGTTAGCATGGAAGTATGTGTCATTGAGGAGTTAGAGGAAGTAAATCCAACAATTCAGTTAGTATAAGAAGTACGTCAATGACTAAACTATTTACAGTTATTTATAATCAAAATAAAAATTTTTAACAGGAATAAACCGATCATTTATTTGATTTTATTTAAAAAATGAATTGTCGAATTTTATTAAAAATTGAATTTAAATATGACTATGCGGGAATAAGCACAAATATAAGGTTAATTAAATAAAAACTTGAAAATGTAAATTTATAAATGAATTCAAAGACAGTCCTTGGAACTTCCTTGCAGTCTCTACTATTTTAATCCGAGTATCGGAGAAATCGAATAAAATTAATGATTCTCAAGTAACAAAAAAAAATTTTTTAACGCCGGTTAAAGACTTAAATATAGTGAGTTTAAATTAAATTACTTAGCGAAAATAGAAATTTATTCGTCATCTTTATTGTTAAAAATCAAAAAGAAAACCCACAACTCTTATTGAAAGAAAGAATTCAAGTTGGAATGAGTTAGAATGCGTTACTATAAAAGATAGGAATGTTTGGAATGTTTGAATCACATAACCGATAGTATTGGATAATAGAGACCAAGAGAATTAAAATTATGTATATATTCGTTTAAACATATATCTTCAAATATGTAATTTTTTATTGGAAATTCGTCAGTTTTTGATACACTATTATAACTATTGGAAAATCTTATTGATAGATCATAACATAATCCGTTATTTTAGTAAAGCAATAATTTGAAAATAAAACTTTTCGGCAGAATTCTAGAATATTCATGGAATTCTAAGAACGACTTGTAGAGTTATAGAATTTACAACCGAAATTCTGTAGTTAATTTTGCATTTTTTTTTTTAAAAAAACAGGAAATTGTTTATCTGTTTATTTATTTTTTATTTATGTCATGAGATTGCACAAATCAGCCCAATTTACCGTGTCACGAACAGGCTTAGAAATTTTAATATTGTATAGGTTGTACGAAAATTGAGTATTCATTTTATAATGCCAATTAGATATCCCATTATTGTAAAAAGTTTTTAGCTGTCATGCAGTACAAAATTCTTATTATGAAATTAGAATGGCTGTAACAAATAATAAATTGGTTAATGTTAATTATATAATTCGGAATGATTTTCTCAAATTACCCGAGTGCAATAATTTTTTATTAATATGAGATTATCCTATTGAAATATAATTCGTAGAATTTAAATTTCAGAATTTAATATACATTTTTCATTCACGGAAATCGATCGCAATTTTTATTATACAATTAAAATATTTAGACATTAAATCATGATCTAAAGATTTTTTTCTTGTCACTTTTGTTACACAAAGTAGTACATATAAGGCGCCGTAAAATTGAGGACAGTCGTTAAAACGAATTATACTTGATTTTTATCAAGCATAATTCGACAAGTGAATACTTCTTTAAATATAGATTTCAATAAATGTGATTTTCGGTAGTATTGACTATTGATTTATTATTTGTCAAGATCTCTCCCTCTGCAATAGCTTCAGATTTTTTTTTACAGAAATTGAAAGTATATTACGTGCTCATTATCAGTTTAAGCATTGAAAGTTCTTATATCGTACAATTAAATAAATATAAACTAAATGTTTTTTAAAAATACAGTATATAGATCCATTAAACTAATCAAATAAAAACTTGATAATATTTATTGGCTCTTTAGTGCTTTCTATAAATATTTATAATCATTAAACGTTTATTAATTATTATTTTAATTTGTATTTTATTAAGACATACTCACTTTCTAAATGATACATATTGAAATTACTACGTGAATGAGGAATGGTTTTATTATGCTTAATTTAAGTTTTTGTAAATTGTAGGTTTGTTCAACTTTTAAAAGTAATAATTTTTTTGTATTACAAAATAATTATAACGTACCTTTCTTCAACGCAAAACGCAAAAGAGGACAAATCTGCCGATATGGTTCATTAATATACTCAAACTACAAAAAAAAAATGCTTCAACTGCATTGATAAAAGCTAGATGTTATTTAAATATTAAATAATTGGGTATACTGTAGTAATATAGTGATTATATAGTGTAACACGTATTTGATATGGTTGATAAAAATTACGTGTAGACTTAGGTTTATTGATTTATTTGAGCACCAGAATGGAATAAAAGTTATATGTTGATATTGTAAGAAACCTGATAAATGAGCATTTTACAATATATGTTTCCCGCACCATTATATATATTGTTAGCAAGATTAGTCTGTTGGTCTGCACTTATATAGTACATTATTCAAAATTCTATCTCTCCTGGACGCCTTTATGGAACTTTGATTTGTCAAAAGGTCTTATCACTTTAGGATCTCGTTTATATTCCTCGCAAAAGTCATCTTCTTCGCCTTCACAATAAGAGTGAGAAAATGGTCTGAAGAGAGGGTTGATTAATAAAAGATTTTTTAAAAGTTTTTGTGGATGAGTGGAAAACCTTAATGAGATTCGTCAGAGCCGAGTTTTTTTATAATTCTTCAACGTTAAATATTGTTATCATGATTTAAATATTTAATATGCGATAATTATGATTACAGTATATATATTTTTTTATTAAGGAGAACGGTTTCTTTTTGTAACGAAAGTGATGTATATATATACTATATACTGTACGTGTTGTGTATATAAAAAAATTATGTTGACAAAAATTATCAAAATGGTCATCCAAATACGAAGTAGTATATTATCATTGATTATTATTGGTTTAAACTCTTTTATCTAATATATATATTTTTTTTCAAAAATCAATATTTACACGTAAATATCCTAAAACGTATATATTCTCTCAGTTCACTGCATCCGAGACCGAATACAAACGTAGATTACATAATAAGTTCTGGAGTTGAATAATTCTTTATTTATTAATTTTTCAATTTGAATAATAATCTGTTTCTAAACATTTGTTGGATACTATGTAAAATTTTTATTATCTTAATGGCTTTCTCAAGCTTTGTGTAACCTAATTATCAACATTCACTTTTAACAATTGATGAATTGGTCAGACTGGGCGTAAATTGTGTAATGAAGTGATGTGCATTGCAATGAAAGCTTCCAATGACTTTTTATTGGAATTGAAAGGCTTGGAATCGGAAGAATTGGAAAATTCCAATATTCCAATAATTTTCAATACATTTAGTTATATATATGAATATATATATATTTCTATGTGCATTGGAAGCTTCCAATAAAAATTTATTGGCATTGGAAGGCTTGAAATTGGAAGAATTGGAAGATTCCAATAGCTTCCAATCTTCCAATGCACATCACTGGTATAATGTATCCTATAAAATATTTTCGTAATACAGGTAACTTTCAAGGAAAAAAGTAAAAGTATTATCATTACTATTAACAGATATAATGTTTGAAACACAATTAAATTAAGTATAGTTGAATAAAATAACCGAAAGCATCTGAGCCAATCAACAATGAACCTGTAAATTCAACGTTTCTTTACCTCTTTGTGAAACTAAATATTTATATTAAAGGATAAATTATGAAACTACATATCACGCATTAAAATTTCCATAAATTGATTAATTACTCCATAATTCATAATAATTAATAGTTCGGCAATATACGGATATACTGTATTACCAATTTTCTTCAAGCACAATAAAAAAAGTATTTGGCTTAATAATTAAATTCATCATTTATTTTACTTTATAAGTAACCAACTTTGAATGTGTCAATCCGATTATTAATCCAAATATAGAAGATTAAAAAGGATCCCCAAAGTTTCCTTAATTAGCTTCATTTTCGTAATTTTGTGATTTAAGACGACCGACGTACATTCTGTATCTTATGTTTTAACTAAAAGCAATACATTTACACTTTAAACTATTTTACCCAAGGATGAATTCAAATTTCCATTCTGGCCTCGTAAAAGATATCTCCTTGTTATTAAATGATTCCAATTATTTAAACGTTACTATTCATGTTGGTGAAAACGAAAATGCAGAAGAATTTAAGGCCCATTCAATTATTTTATGTGCTCGTTCTGACTATTTTAAGTGTGCATTTTCAAATGAATGGGTTACAATGAATAATAATATGATCACATTTAATAAACCGAATATTGCTCCAAAGATTTTTGAAATGATTTTAAAGTAATTATTATTTAAATTTTTAATAAAATTATTGTATGTTACTTACACGCGCATAATTCATAAATTTCGTAATTTCTCGTTTTTTTTTTTAAAAAAAAAAGATATATTTATGCAGGAGAACTTGACTTGACAAATCAGCCAGGTGAAAATATTCTAGAACTTTTGGTTGCATCTGACGAACTGGTTATTGAAGAATTATTTGAACATCTTCAAGATTATTTAATTGAAAAACGACAAACTTGGGTCAAGCAAAACTTTGTTTTCGTTCTTCATACTGTATTTAAAATTGTAAGATGTAAGAAATTACAAGATTATTGTCTTAAATCCATTTGTACCGATATATTACCATTTATTACTTCAAAAGAATTTCTATTACTAAATAAAGATATTCTTTATGAACTACTTAAGCGAGATGATTTTCGAGTTGAAGCGATAGTTGTTTGGGAATCTTTGATTAAGTGGAGCATTAAACAAATACCTGAATTGGAGAAGAAAAATAATCAGGAAGAGTGGATTGACGAGAATTATGAGGATTTAAAGGATATATTAAGTAATTTTATTCCTCTTATTAAATTTTTAGATATTACTTCTGAAGATTTCTATCATAAAGTTCGACCATATAAGGCCATTATTCCAAATGATATTTATGAAAAAGTAATGGCGTATTATTTAATTGAACAACCCAAATCATACCTTCATACTATTTCACCACAAATTGAATCAAATATTATCAAATCAAAGCTTACAAATATCATTATTAATTGGATTGATAAAAAACATGGCAATTTTATTCGTACTAAAGAAGATATATTATACAAATTTAAACTTGTTTACCGGGATAGTCGGGATGGAATCAATAATGAATCATTTAGAAATAAATGTGAAGGTCAAGTAGGAAGTTTGATTTTAATTAAAGTAAATCAATCAAATAAAATTTTTGGTGGATTTAGTTCTATTGGATTTAATTCAATTGGAAATGATTTATTACAATTTGATTTTAATGGTTATAATAGTTTATCATTTTATTATTCATTAGATAATTTTATTTTTTCATTTGAAAATAATGAAGATATTCAAAATATGAAAATTAGTCGTGTTATAGATTATTCTAAAGCTATATTGAATCATTATACTTTTGGATTTAATTTTGGTCGAGGTTCATTATATATGAAAAACCAATATTTATTTATTAACAGTGAATGTGATAATTATGAAAAGAATTTAAACATCAATGATAATTTTATTATTGAAGAAATTGAAACTTATATTGTCGTTAAACAATAATCTGTTGAATTATATTTATCTATTCGAAAAGGCAATGTTATATTATTCATATTCATTATTATTTGTATGAAATATTCAAATATAATAAATTATAAATTTCATTCTTATTATGTAACAATTCTGATCAGTTTTAAAATGGTAAAACGTTGTTCAAGAAAAAAAAAACTACCGAATTAACGCCGGGTCACGTGATTAGCTTATTAATATCAACCCGTACTATGACGATCATTTTCGGTAGACTGTGATTCGATACTCTAGTAATTTTTTCGTTGGAATGAGGATAAGAATAAATAATGATTATATATTTAATCACGTAAACATGACATATTGTGTAATGATGTCGTTATACAATACTTGACTTTGTCATATGTTAAAAAGCACAATAAGGCCATTCCAAACTAAGAATTAGGTTAACGTCTTTTCTGACTGGCTGAAATATTCGAGGGGGAATAAAAACATACTATAAATTTTGGAAGTTTTCGGTAAAATTGGAAATATTCGGTGCCACTCAATTTTAGGGTGCTTAAACATATGTGAACATGTGTTTAAATTATTTTAAAATTTTTAAAAATAGGCGTTAAACTAAAAATTAATTTGGAACGGCTTAACTTATTTCTATGTCAATAAATAAATAAATATTATTACCCTTCAGTTTCGTCTATATTTTAAAAATAAAAATACAAAATAAATAAATTAACAAAATTTTTTAGTTCATTTATTCGATTGTAATTTCAAAAATAGTAATGTTGATCAAAAGTTATACGACATATTCAACGAGAAAGATCATTAATGTATCGATAAGAAATTTTAGAAATGAAGTTCAATGGATCATATTCTAACAATTAATTTTGGACGAATACCATACATTAAGAAACTTTATTTGATATTATTTGATATAAACACTTTTCTTTAATTCGCTATATACGGTAAAGACAGACTATAGTATTACTTAGTATCTGTAATTTTTTCTTGTCAATTTCTCGCACAATTATGATAACACATATTTGTATCAACATATAATATAATTCTTTTATATTTAATATCTATTATATGTAGTAACGATAATTGCGATAATTGCAATGTTTTAAAAACGCCCGTTTTTCATTAAAAAATCTGCGAGAGAGTTAACTTATTAATGGATCGGAGTAAAGTAATTATGCGAATCTTACGTACATACTGTAGTACTTGTGCACATCGTAAAGACGTTTGCCACCACAAGCTACAAATATATTCCTTTATTAAATGCAATAAAATATTAATATGTTCCGAGTTACATACTAAAATAAACCAATATATTAATCCCAAGTTAATTCTAATTCTAAAATCAACTGTGATAATTTCTCCTATCATAACCCAGTTAAACCATTAATCATGATGCATGAGGCTCTTTTTCATCATAAGAAAAAGGCAAAAAGAATCGAAATCATCTATTTCAAAAGGTAAATTATAATTATTGATCATTTTCAAAATATGTAACCTCCCGCCCCTTTTGAGGAGCTCTAAAGCCCCGGCTATTTAAAAGAAATTATCGTAACATCAAAAATCACTGCGTATCCTAATTTAATAGTTTATTTGAATCATTCATCAAAAATGAAATTTTTCGTCATGATCTACAAATTAACCACCTGATATCTTAATCACCTGACTTAATAACCTTAGTTTAACGTCGTTACGTCATAAAATTTTAAAATAAAATTTTATACACTAATTCTAAATATAATACTGCGCCTCATAATTAATAAATTTACTAGATATTACGGCACTACACTATGAAGAAAAATCACGTGAAATAAACTTAAGTTTTAATATTCAAAAAATAAACCAAATATACAGCTAGATTTATTTATGCATAAAATAATTGACATAAGTACGAACAGTAAAGAATATAGTGAAAACTATGAATAAAAAGACTTACAAATAATATGTATAAATTAATAAATTTGTACATTCATATTTAAATTCAAAAGCGTTCTAGTTAAAATAATAATACTTTAATTTGGTTATTTTTATACCTAAACCGTAATTAGAACAAGTAACTACATAGCATATTTAAGACCATATTCAATCACAAAGTCTCTTTTTTCCTATTTATTTGGGTTATAAATTTAATATAAGGAATAAATAATAATATAAACAAGTGAAATCACTTACCATCATTTTCAATGTTTGATTCATCAACCTTTCTCTTTCTCGAAGTTGCTGTCACATTTAATGAACTAGTATAAATTTCGCTTGGATGAAAGATTTTAAAACGTTAAAGATAATGATTAATGATACTAAAACAAAATGCATTTAATTATAATTAGATACCTTTTAAACTTTATATCAAATTTTATTTCTTCAGAAATGTAATCTAAAAATTTAAAATAGTCGTTATAAATTATATAATACTTTAAGACAAATTACATCAAACAAATACCTTCGTTACTGTAAAATAAAGATGACTTGATAGATGAGCTTTTAGAAACAAAAGAGATTAATGATCTACTTGTATAAATGGCTTTTGGATGAGGTTTTTTAGCAAACTCAGGACCAAGTTTCTGTGATTCTATTAACTCTCTTCTTTTTAATTCAGCCTTAGTAAATACATCATCAAGTAAAGTTCTGAAAAACCAACTACCAAAAGAATTACGAATTTTTTTTACTGAAGGTCTTTTTTTGGGGTCAGGATCCCAACAACTTTTCATTAAATTTGCATAACATTCTGGTGTGTCTTCTGTGATTTTAGGTCGTTCTCCATCAAGAATTCTATAAACAAGATTATGATCATGTTCAACATTAGCAAAAGGTTTGCAACCTGTTGTGAGTTCCCACATAATCATACCCATACTATAAACATCTGATTCTTTAGAAAATGAAG